CGGTGCTGCAGGGAGCTGAGAGGTTCATGACCTCCTGGCACGAGAAGGAAGAAGAGGCCAGCCGACAACGGGCGCTCAAACGAAGCCACAAGCCACCAACCAATGGGGCGGGAGGGGGGCAGGACCCGGACGAGACGGCGAGGGAAGTAAGCAAACGAGAAGAGACGGACCGAGTGGCGAGATACGTGCCGGATTGAATTTCTTTTCGCCAATTCCGCCCCCCCCAACGCTGCACCATTGCACCAACCCCCCACTAGTGATGACGTACCATTACAATGTATCGCTGGTTGGTGGCCATGTTTGCGTGTTTGCTTGTCGTTCGTGGTCTCTCCACCGTGTGCCTTTTTCTGTCTCTTATTTCTTGCTATTTTCGGCCTGGTCCCTTTTTGTCCTCGCTCTTTTTCAGTTCATTTTCTCTTTCCTTACTGTTTTCTTTTATTTTCTTCTTTTTTTCTCTTTTCTCTTTTTCTCTCTTTTTCTGTGCCAGATGGCCTTGTTTCTGCTTGCGTTGTGAAGTACCAAGATTGAACCAAGGGGGTGTACCTCATTCTCTCCGGCCCGTGATGGTGACCCCTAGTCTCAGTTGTTACCTCGCATAGCGCGCAGAAGGAGTGGAGGACTCCAGAATATCTGTTGTTGATTTCTATTGACTTGCGGACCCCTCGGGGCCATTTTATTTGAGTGTACCTTTTTAGGGTAAGTTAGCCTGCGACCACGGGAATCGACCGCGTCGAGTGTTGGATCAGTGCGGACATGCGAAGGTACTGGGTAGAGAGAGATCGGAACGGTTTTTAATGTGAAGACAACAACAACATTTTCAATGAAGGTCAGGGATGCTCCACTTCCATTGGCCATCGTGCGGGCGTGGTGGGGTGCATGGCCGGAAGACGAGCAACTCAGGCTCTTGAAGCGGGGTCATTCCACGTGCACGCATATTTCATTCCTGCCCGAGCGAGCACTGGGGATCAGCCTTGCATAAACGGCCTCTTCCCACGACATGAGTACCTTGGAGGGAAGGGTCGAGGTCGACTAAAATGGCTCTTGTAATAAGACCACCAATCATGCAACCCCTTGCGAGACCGGCTCCTGACCAGGAGATATACACGGCTTATCCTTCGGTCTCTTCGATATCACACTGCCTGCCCTCGGGGGGGTGGGGGGGATGGGGGGACTGTTACAAAACAAAACACGTGTGTGACCTTTTCCTGTCCAGGGCACAGCACGTACTCTCGGCAAAACTCGACATCGTCTGTCCCGCACCGGTGGGCAGATGTCAGGCCCGCCGGCTGCTCACCTGGTCATGCCGAGGTCGGACGAGGTGCCGTGGCAGAAGAGCAGGACCTTAGAGGCCCCGCCGTTTCGCTCCAGCGCTAGGCACACCGACGAACCCTGGCGCACGCAAAACACACACAAAAAGAGGAGCACAAAGACAGGTCTATGGCGTGCATGATTCACAGAGCGCGAACGAGTGATGTTGATGGTTGCCCCCGGAAGGAAGGATCGAGAAGGGTGCTCGGATTACCACTCACCACGGTGGGCAACGGGATGGTTCCTTCTCTCTCTCTCTCTCTCTCTCTCCCTCTCTCCCTCTCTCTCTCTCTCTCTGTATGTCTCTCCCTCTCGCTCGCCTGCGCATCTATCCATCTATCTAAACATCTATCTTGCGTCTATTTATCTATTTGTCTATACATCTACCGGTATCTGCTTCGTTTCTGCGTATGGCTCCATCTCTGTGTGTCTGTTCTGTGTGACTGGCAGACACTGCCGTCTCTCTTATTTATCCCTCTCACCAGAACGCAAAGCTCTCCCGGCCAGCTGGTGGCCACATAGGTCGGCTTGGGCGGGCGGAAGAGAAACATGTCGGAGGGCGACAGGCTGAACGACGCCTGGCGCTGAAAATAACGCCTGCCGGGTGGAGGGCGGGGACGGTCGCTTGCCCTCCCCGAAAGAATCTCCATCTAGCTTATAACGAGTGCTTAGATGAAGACTCCTCCGGCCTTGGCCTGGAAAAAATAGCTCTCCGTTTGCCCCCGTGGCGTCTTTCTCTGCCTTGGTCAGCTGTGTATCCCTTGTCACGTCTTTCTCCCTCTCTCTCCCGCTGTAGTCCGGCGACGGCTCCAAGTTTCTTCGTATCCTGGGAGTGATGAGAACGGATCCCCGACACGCGCACGGAATGGTTCGTCGGGTGCATAGCCGGGTACAGGCGAGGTCGGCGCAAAAAAAATGCGACACAGATCGGGTAGCTCGTGATTGCTGTAGCGTATTCTCAAAATAAAAACGAGCATTCTACGTAGTGTCCAGTTTCTTCCAAAAGCGAGAATGATCCTCCTATGTCGGGACGTCGTTTCGAACCTCGGCTCAATCGAAACAAACGCGAATCATGTGCACAACGCGACTTGGGTTTGACCAGTTTAGCATGCACGGCACGGAACAAGTTTCAATGTTCGACTTCACCGTCGAGGAGGGAAAGGGACGAACGGCTGATGAACCCTTCCAGCGATAAGAAAGTGAGGGCGCAGACACCAAAAGATGGTGGTGGCGTTCCTCCATGTGTGACCGCGTCACCGTCGCTGACCCGTTCGGCAAGCAGACACATGCAATATTCCGACAGGTGTACACACCGACATCCAGGACCCAGGACAAACTGAAAGAGACACCAGCCCAGCAAAAGTGTAGCATACCGCATGCGTACCGTATATGACACAGGATAACACACCCCCTTGACCAACTTTCGAAGCTCGATTTCTCAAATGCAGGAACAGTCACAGCGCCGAAAATGGCGGCGTTGAAACCGTCTCGTCGGGAGCTTTTCGAAAATGTATCGTTTCGTTTATGCATCCTCTTCGTCGTGGAGTATTCGAGCTTTGAAAATCGGTCCAGGGGGTGTGTTATCTTGTGTCATATACGTATGTTGCAGCGCTCCTGGAATACGATGAAGAGATGAGGAGGCCCTCCACTCACCGTAAAGACTTTAACACATCCCCATTGACTGTGGTAATATTTCGAACGGGTCGTACAGGCAGTAGTCTTTCTGCGTGTTTTACAGACAGTAGTCTTTCTGCGTGTTTTACAGGCAGTATCTTTCTGCGTGTGTTATGTGTTTTTACTAGAGATGCAGGGTGGTTTTGACAAGCGTGGCCGACCGTCAAAACCACCACTGTAGGTGGCGCCCGCACGCAACAACTTGGCAAGTTAGAGAAGTCGATACAACAGAAGTACGGTAGCCTCGAAAAACTCAACACCTAACACGACTTGATGATCATCCGTGTGTGTGAGCCCGGTCTAAGGACCCCGAGCTACATACGCATACGTACAACATACCATCCACGCAGCGTGTTGGGGTAGCGGCCATTCGGGAGTCCACGAGAGGAACTGAGAACCCAATGCCTGCGCCAAAAAATAGAGAGGTGAGGGTGCTATCTTTGTCGATGGGGTCAACAGCAGGAATGCATACAGACCAGGTATGATATGTATCGCCCCCCAAAAAGGACAACCAAGAATGTTTCAGAGGATTCAATATATAACCGCCGGGCGAGCTCGTGGTATTGCGAAGAGCGCAAGGATCATGAACGTGGAAAACAGACCGCCAAATTACTTGCTGATGGTTTGGTGGGAAGGGTCTCTGTCGTGTGCTCCACGTGCACTTGAAGAGTTTGTAGTATCCATTCGTGGGATGCTCTGCAGTATATGTGAATACGAAGCTTTTTGCGGGAACTAAATTGATGCATACCTGCTACACTCCCCGAGCGTGGGCGTTTGCCCACATGTAGTCTAGAGAACTGAATATTGGTCCCTTCCCCCAAAATTTCAGGCATTTGTTTTCAAGTCAACCAATCCCCTTCGTCCAGAGTGGAGATCGCCCGGAGAGAGAGGAACGTCAACACGCACGCATCATACTTCTTTGCTTCTGGTACAGCCAGCCACTGAGCCGAGAACTTGCAGCATTGTATGGCAACACAGCACGTTTGCTGGACCAGCCAGCTGTGCTCTAAAATTCAAATCAGTCCTACGGTTGGGTGCGCTGCTTGTAGTCAGCTGGAGCTGGTGTGCTGTCGTGCTTTCCGTTGGTGTGGTCTGCTGCTGGTGTGGGCGCGACAACAACAAATTGTTTTACACGCATCATGCTTGAAAGACTTCACCCCACCTGTGGTTCTCGCCCGACCCCTCTCCCTCGTCAGAAGCTAGTTGGGGGGGAGCGCAATACAAAGCGCTGATAGCTGAAGAAGGAAATTGGGCCAAAACGACAACATCAAAAGTGTACAAGCAAGACACGAAGCAATCAACACACAAATCGGAAGCAAATATAAGAAATACACCCACACCCCCCCCATGCAAACTATGGCAATAGCAACTGCGGGGCCGCATCGACGGCGCCTGCGGTGTTGTGTTGTTGGATACTGGGTTGGTTGTTGCTGGAGCACGCACCCCGGCCCGGCAGCAAGAGCGGGGTATTGGGGTAGAACAATGGCGGGAGAGGGCAAGGGTTCCGGTGATCCGGATGCAGGGGCGTCGAAGACGAAAAAGGGCAAGAAATCCGCTGCTGCTGCTGCTGCTGCTGCTGCTGCTTCTGCTGCTGCTGCTGGCAAGAAGGGCACGAAACCAACGCGATCACCGTCAAGTTCACCACGAGCAAAGGCTGGGAAGAAAGGAAAGGGCTCCGGAGCCAAGAAGGCTGCTGCTGCAGCAGTAGTAAAGCAGGAGAAGGAGATCGATGGCGACGCACCCGCGGCAGTAGAGGAAGAAGGCCAAGAGGAGAAGGGAGAGCAGGAGGCGGGCAAGCAGCAGCAACAACAACCGTCCGACCAAGGCAAAGCAACGCCGGAGGGGGAGGAGGAAGAGCAACAGCAGGTGGCCGAGGCAATGGAAGAGGAGGAGGAGGAGGAGGAGGAGGAGGACGAGGAGGAGGACGAAGAAGAGGAAGCCACTGACGAGGTGAGTCAGTCAGACGGGTGCAGCGCCTCTCTCACCTTTAGCCTGGGCCGTCTCTGGTGTAAGCCTACAAGATCCCTGGCGTGTGTTGCCGTGGGGACAACGAACAAGCGCGGTGCCGTTGTTGCATATTTTCGTGAACTCGGTCGTGATGGCCATCAGTCAAGGAAGACCTACCACATGCATACAACGTATCACATCACAAGTAGAGGCAAGGCGCTAAACCCGTTGGGTCAGCCGGTACAGCTGTGCAGGCCACACTCATGTCACCACAATCGACGACGGATCCAATATTTGGTCAGATAAGCACACCCTCCCCGGTTTTCAGTCCCCCTCCGCCGCGACCCCCTGCGATGGGGAGCAAGGGGGGAAGTGCTGTGCATAGATCTGCTTGCAGCAACTACCCACGGTTCGGTCTCTGTATTTTCAATGCAGGTCTAAATCTACACAGATGAAGATGTTTCTGTTTTTTGTACGAAAGGAAAAATACAAACGAGCGGCACCTGCGAAGTATAGTCGGTGCGGATTCGCCAGTCATAAAAGGTATGTAGTCATGGTAACTCCGACTACACGGCGTTACATGTGCAATGTTATGATACCTATCCAAACGTCTCAGTAATAGGGTGGTCTATCAGCAGGTGCATACCTTTCGGTGGACACGCGGCCGGAACGCACGCTGCTGTTGCATCAGGAGCAGGTTGGTCGCACGCGACTTCCACTACTTAGACACGTTAGTGGTCAAACAGCAGTGGCATCGTCAAAACGTGCCCACGAAATTTCCACGAAACTTCTCACAGTGGTAGGTGGGAGCGCCCGTCGCTCTCGGTTCGTAGCCTTTGCTCAGCGAAGGCACCACATTTTTGTCTTCGCTTTGAAATATTGCATACACGAACCCTGGACACACCCAGCCCACCGGATCGCAACCGTACCCTTTACACGAAAAGAAGTTTCGATGGACATTTCTACGGACGATTTTGCTGTGGACCCTGCAACCCACCCGTAGCCTTAACGTTTCCCGGCGTGTTGGTGCACGGCGCGATCAACAGGGCGAGAGTGCGCCGGTGCTCGGCGAGGATGAACGGGCAACTATTCCGACACACCGACTCCTTAGGCGGCAGGCGTCTGCTGCCGGAGAGTTCGACTACGGCGCTATCGGCAACCGCGCCTCGGATAGGTAGATACGTGGGGGGATTTCATATCCATCCTCCATGTAGTGGGAGGCTACCCCCCCAGGCTGGTGGTGCGGCCGTTCCACTAGTCTAATTATTTATTTTATTTTATTTTATTTGTTTCTGATTATATTTTGTTTTCTTGTATTTTATCGCTCTGCTGACCCTTGGGGTCCATTTTATTTTGGTATACCTTTTCTAGGTACGTTAGCCTGTGACCACGGAAATTGGCCGAGTCAAGTGATGGATTAGTACGGAGAGATTGAGACAGAAGGAGGTACTGGATAGAGAGACCGGGATGGTTTTTAATGTGAAGACAACAACAACAACAACAACATGATAACAAGATCTCCCTCCGGAGCGGGTTAGAGAGAGCACCGCGACAGACAGGGAGTGACGAAATGCAAGGACATGCAAAAGGCAAACACTGCTGTTCGAACCGACAGCCCAAAGACAGATCGGTACATAATCTTACACCCAAAGAGAGCTGTTGAGATTTTGAGAAAGGTTTCCATATACGCAGTCTTACAAGGAACGCCTCCGGAGTGGGCTCATCGGAACGTAGTAGTGTTATTTTAGTATTTAAGTTTCAAGGGGTGATGCAAGATAAAAGTATCAAGCATGGCTATGTTGGTGAGAAGCAATTGCCAGCTGCCATCAGTGGAGTCTTTTTCGTACAACTCCAACGGCTCCCACAGCTGACGTGTTTTTGACTCGAAGAGCCCAGTGAATCTCAACGAACAAAATGATTCAAATCTGTATGCAGAGCCTTTCTTCAGTTTACTTCGTTAGGCGCAAATATTAGTCTGTACAACTGGTGTTCTCGGGGTGGTGCTTTAACTCGTCAAAGAACTGCCCGGCCCTCTTACACACGGGTGTCTGAGTGCGCCGTGCCCCACGGCGTCGATGAGCTTCATCGGAGTGGTCGAAAAAGATCACGACGACCGAACAGTTCTTCGGGATGTTAAGGTACCACGCCAGAACCACCCACCCACTCGCAAGCACCCGCACTCGTAGGAGCGGTGCCGGCTAGAAGCTCACAACGTAGTTCTCAACGAAACCACGAGTGACAACCGTAAGACGCGTGGCCGGCGTCTACGAGTGTTGAATAACGGTCTGGACTGCGACCTGGCAGACGACGAGGAATTGCAGGAGGTGAGGAAGTGACAGCACTCCGCCCGCCTGGCAAGCAACACGGGGTTACGTCTCTCTTCTGAAGCGCGCACTTGTTTGTAAAAACGAGGCAAGAGGAAGTCTGGAGAGATTGGGGCACGTGCTCTACAACCTTCATTATGTCACGTGCGGGCAATTTACACAATTTATGATCACCGTGTTTTCGATATCGATTTAGAGCCCATCCGCTTATGCATACCCTTTGCCGCTCCCTCCAGGCAGCGGCGAGAAAGCGTGGAGTTTACTTTTTGTTGCTGGGTTATGTTCCGGGGGGGCGGGAGAGTTTACACAACCGAAGTGGGAACTACCCCTCCTCTTCCCCACGATGCGCCTTGATCACGAGTAAAAAGCGTCGAGCTATGTAGCGGGGCAGGTTGCAGGCCCAACTTTTGTCCCGTTGATTCTTTTAAGTATAGCGGTTTGCACCTTCTTGGTAATTTGTGGTCGACACGGATCGAGTTATACCGCTGTCTGGAACCTCCCCCACTCGTGTTTTTCGCCGCTCTTCGCCGTTCTCACTCGCCCGTGCAGGTTCAAGACGTACGTGAGGCGCATTGAGCTGGACCCCTGGGATACGGATGCCTGGACGGGGCTGGTTAAGGAGGCCCAGAACAACAGGGGAGGCGGCATGAGCCTGAAGGATGTCTTGAGGTAGGTCCTGCAAACGTGTGGCAAAATCCCAAAAGAAGTTTTTCTTTCTTGTCTCTCCTTTGAGACCCCGGCTGATACATCAAATGTATGCCGAAATGTGGAGGCTGGCGCCAGAGCGTGAAGTGGACGACGACACACCACACACACACAAAGCATCGGCGAAAGGACGGCGCATCCGCATCATTGCGTGACCCCTCGCCACTTGAGATTGGGCGGTACTGGGGCTAAGGCATGGCCACCGGAATGCAGTGCTGCCATGAAGTTTCGATTGCACCTGATGGGTGGGGGGTACTCATAGTCGCGCATGCCGTGGTCAATAGACCGTTGACCTCGCATCCTTACAAAGCCGGGACGGAGCACGCCGGGTGCTCACCGGACCAGGCTCTCACATCACCAAGCGCAAAGCGCCGTGAGGTATTCGGCGAGTCGCATGAAGGGTGCGCTGCATCCTGCTAAGGGTGTTCGGCATGTTTGCTTACTTCCTTGCATACGGATGACAGCTGCGTATGACTTAATTTATTTTCTGGTGCTTTCACTTCCAGCGACAGTTATACGCACTGTTTAGCTGCCTCGAGTGTGCTTGACCAATTTAACACAACGTGGTGCGATCATCTCCCTTGCGCGGAGTGAGGGTTCTCTACCCCGCACAACATGATCTACTCGACCACCATATGGTCACCGCAACAAAGCAACCAGAGGCAAAATAACAAGGCGGTAACCTGGTTGCCGACCTCACGAAGTGAATTGGCTTGTTTTTTAACGTCTTTGCCAAGCGACGAAAANCGCACTGTTTAGCTGCCTCGAGTGTGCTTGACCAATTTAACACAACGTGGTGCGATCATCTCCCTTGCGCGGAGTGAGGGTTCTCTACCCCGCACAACATGATCTACTCGACCACCATATGGTCACCGCAACAAAGCAACCAGAGGCAAAATAACAAGGCGGTAACCTGGTTGCCGACCTCACGAAGTGAATTGGCTTGTTTTTTAACGTCTTTGCCAAGCGACGAAAACCCAACCCCGATGACAAACACCGGGGGGGGGGGAGGGCATTGGTTTCGGACGGCATCCATTGCGAGATCTGTAGCGGTGTCATTCATTGCGAGGCCTTTAGTGCTGTATTCGTCTTGAGAAGAGCCTGTCTATTTCTTGCAGTTTGAGTCTGAATCGCTCGCCCACATCCCTACACACCAATCTTGGCGTCGTATCGAGTAACCCTTGTTTGGTACAGCGGGGGTGGCGGTTTAGCTTAGCGACCCCCCTGTGTAGTGACGTGCCCAGTATTGTGGCCACAAAATCGCGTAGCACCATTTCACCCCGACCAATAGCCGTTATACCGGCAGTATCGACTTGCCCTGACTAGCAGCGACCAGATTCCCTCCGAACACGCTGCACCAGGTCCACCACCGTTAAAGTGACTACTGTAGGTAAAGTGAGCCCCAGTGGTTTCCTCGCCGGTGGGGAAGGCTGGTATGGTATTGGTATCTACGGGACATGCATGCTCTGTGCTTGTGGTAAAATGTTTGGCTTCGTAGGGTAGCAACGTGGGCCGCACACCATCTTGGCGGCGGCGGCGGCAGCAGCAGGTTCCGTTTTTTGTTTTGTTCGTCATGGTTTTCGCTCTTGGCGCACCTTTGGTTGACTCGCGAAACTACAAGCCTCATCCCCGCTGCTGCTGCCACCGCTGCCGCCGCCGCCGCAGGAAATTTCTTAAGCAATTCCCGACGTCCGGAAGGTACCGCCGCATGCTGGCCCAGGCGGAGATGGAGAGCGGTGATTGGCAGGCAGCCGACAAGGTCCGGTTTCCAAATCGGTCGTAAAGGGGCTCTTGCCGCCTTTTGTTATTGTTTTTGTATCTCCGGCTTGCTTACTACTTAGATGGATCGTGTAGCCATATCTGGTTCAGCAGAATGGATTGGAGAGCCATCCGCTCGCCGACTTTGACGAACATGTCGTGGCTCGCGTGCGCTGATGTGCTAGGGATGCGCGGTTCTCTCTGTCTGTCGGTATTTCATTGGTGTCGAGAAAGAACTGATTTCAAGCCCAACCGCCGTCCCCGAGCATGGGTGAGTGATCAACACCAGACGCTGAACGTCACACCGTTTGAGAATTCGAGGTCGACGAGTGATCGAAGGACTGTAGCATGCATGACATGACCATGGCATCGAGACCTTTACCCCCCCCCTCTCTGAAGCATGGATTGGTCATTTTGAGCAGGTATGCACATGCCGACGGAGGGTGTACCCGCCGATTGGCACTGAACCGACCGAAAAGGTCGCGATGTTGTGTTCGAATTTGTGCAATATGTCCTGGGGTTTGGTTGCGTTTGCCGCCGTAGCGCCGTGTGTTTTGCGGAAGTTTGGAGCTTCGCCGGTTGGTCCTGGACCCCAATGAACGTGTTAAGTTCTCTGCAGGTGTTGCCCCGTATCCCGCGTTGGGTGAACGCTAAAAAGTGTCTCTGGTCCAACGTGTTAGGTTCTGCAAGAGGGCCTGGAGAGCTGCGCCAGCCTGGAGCTCTGGCTGCTCTACCTGGAGAGGGTCAGGCGCTCCGCGGTGGCTGGCGGGGGCCGGACGGAGCAGGAGGCGAGGGAGGACACGATCGCCGCTTTCGAGCTGGCGCTTCTGCACGTCGGCTGCAACCCGGCCTCGACCCCGCTGTGGCAGAAGTACCTGGACTACATCAAGAGCTGGGAGGAGAGGAGCCCGCTGGACAAGGGCAACAAGATGACCGCCATTAGGAAGGCAAGAGGAGGGGGCTACGTGGGAGGCGGTTTGTTTTGTTCGGACACCGGGGGGAAGGTGTGCGGGAAGACACGTGATGATGTGTTCACCGGTTGCGTTGAAGGCGACATCAGTAGTAGGATAGGTCAAGACTGACGAGGTACACGCACGGTGAAGGCCGGCAGAGCATCACAGAGTATGACTCTACGCTCGCCTTTCTTCGACATCGAAGAAGACGATGGTTATCGAGGCGAGAGTGACTGGAGAATTTGTCACGCACAGATCAGCAGCGAACTACTCCAGTAGAATGCGATAGATGTACTCGCCTGTGGTAAGCATGGATCATCACCACAGAAATTCTTGCGCCCGTTGTTCAGAGTATATGGGACAAATCTCGATTATTCCATCGGTCCCATGCGAGTGCACCGACCATGTACAGTGCGACTGGCCTTAGTATGCGTCATTGAATTCGCCCCCGAACCTCCCCGTCTTGATTCTAGCCCGGGCTGCTGGCTCGGCCTCATCTAGTCGGAGCCGTTTCTTCCTGCTTGTCTACCGGTAGCTGTACCTCTTGTGGTGTCGCCGTTAACGCTGCGCCGCTGCCAAGCCTTATCCAAATAGTAACCCTATCCGCCGACAGTTTGTTGCATCTACACCGAAAGTATGTTGTTAGCCCCATCCCGTGTGTTGTCAACCCTATTTTCCGACACGTGTTGCATCTACCGCTGCACACTGTCTTGTTAAGCCTATTCTGTGTGATGTTAGCCCTATCCCCCCGGCACTTGTTGCATCCACCGCGGCACACCGAGTGGTCCGTGTTGTTCAGCCTACCATGTGTGCTGTTAACCCTGTCCCCCCGGCACTTGTTGCATCTACCGCTGCGCACCCGAACGGCGTGTGTGTGCTGAGACAGGTTTACCGACGAGTTGTGGCCTTGCCCCTAGACGGCCTTGAGCCGCTCTGGAGGGAGTGCGAAGAGTTCGAGATGGCCGGGAACGAGGTGCTGTGGAAGACCAAGTTCAGCCTTGAGTACCTGCCCAAGTACGTCTAACTTTAGCGCCTCATAGGTGCCACACATGCGCATACATATACAACCGTTGGAGGTGGTGCCCAACAGTCGAGGTGGTGAAGTGTTTACACAAGGGAGCAATGAATTGAGACCACGTTTTAATGTTTGCTGTTACTCTGCATGTGTCTTCAGTAGTAGTCTATTCGTTTCTTCGACGCACCCTTTTGGTCTTTTTTTTTTTTTCTTGCCATGCGAAGGAGAGTCATGCTGTTCCAATATCTCAATATTTCCAATATCTCAACATCGTGGTCTTATATTTTGCGAACCCGCCCAAGAAAGTGGGGGTATCTCCCAGCTGTGCCAACTTCCTCACTCTGCTCATTTTTTGTTTGTGTGTCCGTGAGGAGATTGGGTGCCAAGATTCCACAGTCTGATGCCCCCTCCCCCCGCTGCTGCAGATTGCGCTCGTCGAGATTCATGGACGTGCATGTTATTTGTGGGGTCTTTTTGTTGTTGTCGATCGATTTTTAAGTGGCCTTTGTTTGTCCGCCTCGTTTGCTCGTTGGCCTGTTGGGGCCGTTGATGCAATAAAGCCAGCCCCATGCTTGTCGCACCATGCGTTTTCATTTCTTTGTCGGCGTTTTACATATGGCGCCTATCGGTTTTTGGTCATTTACCTTGTTGTCAAGCAGCGGCGAGTTTCTTTTTTGCAACAGGAGGAAATCACTATTGAGTTTCAATAGCGCACGTTAATGTTGCGAAAATATTCCCGGTCGGTCATTCGCAATACACGTTAAAGTCAGTTTTGACCCCCAACCCCTTGTCTAGCTTTCCAAGCTAGACGTGCGAGGCGACTCAAAATCCGGGTGTGCTGCATGCTTCCTGGCCTGACGAAAGCAGCGTATATAGTTGGTGTCTCACCCGTCTTGCTTTGTGGGTTGATTGGCCCGTCTTCCTATCCCAGGCACATGGCGGCCAAAGCCGTCTACAAGGAGAGGAAGCCGATTTGGGACGGCATCGACCCGAACCTTCTGGCCAGACCTCCTCGAGGGCACCACAGGGGCAGCGGCGGCGGCGGCGGCGGCGGCGGCGGCGGCGGCGGAAAGGACAGCAAGAAGCGAGAGGAGGCGCAGGCTGGCCAGTACCGGCTCTGGAAAAGAAGACTGGCCTTCGAAAGGACCAATCCAGAGGTACCCTGTATGTGCGCAGCAAACACCACGTTTTGCCTTATCCGCCCCCCCCCCCCCGCCCTGGTCAATGGTCTAACCGCTCAGGCATGCAAGACATGAGCACGTCCCCGCCCCCACACGCATACTCGTGTGCGATTTTTGTGACCAAGAATGTCTCACCGCGCGGTTTTCAGTAAGTGCCACCCGAATGGTTGTTTTTCCGACGTCGTGCTAATACAATGGAGTGTTGGGTGTTTTTTTTGCTCTTTGGTGCTGCTTGTGCGATGGCCAATCGGTGTCTCCGGCGGCAGTTGACTGACGAGGACGGGCTGCGGGCGAGAGTGCGCCACAGCTACGCTCAGTGCCTCAGCCACCTGAGACATTTCTGCGAGGTGTGTGTGTGTGTGTGTGTGCAAACGGTGGAGGGGGCGGGTGGGGCCCGTGCTGGTGCCGCTGCTGTTGTTTGTATGGTCGTTCGGTTGTGGTTGTGTTGAAGTATGTTGCAATGCTTCCGCAAGAATGCTGTGTTTGCTGGTTGTTTGTTGCACTGCTTCCGAACCAATACTGCTGTTTTGTTTTCAGAATTTTGTTTTCAGTTGTCTTCCTTGCTCCTGGCGCTCTCGCGCATGGGAGAACAAACGGGAGATACTGACGCCCGAGATCATTGACCTTTCGAAAGAGTTGGCAGGTGAAAAACTTTTGTTCGTAGCGCGCCCGTGGGCGTACTGATGTGCGGCTCGGTGCACATCCACTTCTTGGGCACGTAGGGAGAGACTGCAGGCAAGCGTCTTGCTGTGAAAGTGAAAGTGCTCGTTCTATCGCGACGACGACACGCACAAAACGTTTGAACGAACCGTGTTGAGTGTTGCTACGTGCTTTCGCTCTCCCGACAGATCTGGTACGACCTGGCTGAGTACGAGTACTCCCTGGGCGAGGCCGATCGCGCTGCCGCCATCTACAGGAAGGCTGTGGAGGTACACTATCCAGGATCATGTCATACCCGTTTGTTTTTTTTTCTTCCTTTATCTCTATCCTGCTTTTTTTTCTACGCAGCATGTTGTTTTTTTCTGCCGAGTCTCGGGTTTTCCTCGCGAACCACAGGATGCATCGAGCCTTGGATACCTCGCACAAAGCACCGAATCGTAAGTTGTCAGTCAGAACAACTGAGTAAGACCGCTGGTAAGTTTGTCAGGAAATGGTAAGTATAATAGAGGTAGCTCCAAGGGCGTCCGGTTCCGGTTCCGGTAAGATGACAAGTGCGCATGCCTGCTCTTTCCTCCGTTGTTCTCGCCCCCCCCCCCCC